TGAACACCCTTATGCCTGAACATGGTGTTCATTATGGACAATCCGTGGCGAGCGCAGAAGTCCAACAACAGAACCCACTCTTAGTGGGTCATAATTCGCTTCATAAAACAAAAATACTTAACAAGCACAGTTTTTAATGCCGTTCTTATCCTAAAGTGTAACTTGGCATGTTAGTCCGTCATGTAATGCTATTGTACGTCACGTTATACTAAATATGAAAAGGCGACTCGTGTTAACTAAACCCCAGTAGGTGTTAACTTAACGCCGGAAGGCGATTTATTTTGCAAAACAGACCGACCCATTTTTCCAAAGCACCGCTTATCGCAATGATTCATAACTGCTGTCATACATACGTAATTCTATATGGAAGTACAGGGTGGCAGTAATTCTAAACATAGTTCATTAATATAACATTAATAAAAAATTCTTATTATTGCTGTTCTTACCTTTGTCAATCTTAGGAACATTTATACAAAGCTGTATGTAGGCTGCATTACACTGCATTGCACGTTATATATTGCATACAAATTGTGAAAGCACTTCATATGGGCAGCTATGTCTTTAAGAACCAAGCCAGTGGGATGGAGGGACCCTGGAATTTCGATGAAAGGAAGGTATCGCCTACGTATACCAGCACTGTGGAAACTATTAATATTCATGGTAGGAGCTTGTAATGCTATTGGATATAAAGAGATTATGCTTCAAATACTGTGGACTTTCGGTGGACTGAAGTAATTGTTACAAACACAATCAAGAAAAGAGACTTTCAACGTCACGTAGCAATAATATTTTGAACTGGTATCAGTTAATAGATCTATTATAGTCCACTTTTTGATCGCTTGCGCATAAACCAGTTTATCAATGCTGACGTTTTTTCACTTGGAAATATGAAAAAAAAAAAAATCAGTGTCTGTGTTTTGTGATTGTGGCATATTTTTGATGGACTATGCAGGCAACGTATTTTCCAAGTTGCATTTTACTGGTTATTAAAACCGCAGCATAAAACTGACAAAATTTAAGACGCATATTTCCGTGTAAACATTATAGATTTCTTCGTATCGGTTATATTTTGTGGGGATTTCAAAAGACCCAAAGAAGTAAATGTTAAGCCAACTATGGAGCAGCCTGGAACTGAAGAACTCAGTCAGATCCAACAGCACGAGCCTATACGCTTTGGAATTGATCAGATTCTGAATAATACGGATCAAGCCAGCATGCTGCCGAACCGGACCGACGGGCAGGATTACCAGCTGGCTTCCGATATGTATAACCCTGTATGTTCCTCTTACAATGCAAGCATGAAGATTAACTTAAGCATGCACATGAAAGTCAATGTAAAGGCAGGGACCGCAGGCGGGGTGATCCGCGTCCCGGCCCATAGACCTGTGCCGCCTGCGCCTCGTCCCCCTGTCGATACCCATCACACTGGCATCGCGCCTGGGGTAGCGGGCGTGGGAAACGCTGATTGTTTTGCGTTCCCCTGGATGGAAAACAACAGAAGATTTGCAAAAGACAGACTCACTGGTGAGATTAAATAGTTTTTCTTTACTTGTACTTTTAAATTTGAAAAGGTGGAAAACATTAGGCTAATTTTTTTTAAAGAAATAGGATTCATAATCAGTGAAAATATGTTTTAAAACCCATAAGAAAATTAGGCCTAAAATATTTTTTTCTTTTTACTTCAACGGTGTGACCATGATGACACTTGCAGTAATTTTCATTATTATCTATAGTCTATATAACAGTATGTCTGTTTAGATGATTAAAAACGCATGCCTGCAAAGTTGCTTTAACTAAACGTCATTATTCGAAATACCAACCTTTGCTAGTAAAACACACCTCAAATTCTCAACAGAAAGACTGTACAAAATAAGTTTTTTTCATACCGTATTATTGATTTATCCAAATGATTGGGTACTAACTAAATTAAAATGTAAAGAATATGCATTATAAATCAGCCAGATATCGGTTATTGGTATAATTTCTATATTGGTGCACATAGTATAGGATAGTATATAGAATTATTGACGGCTATGTTTCAAAACAAATAAAACTAGTTGTAAGAGAGATAGATAGATACAGTAGATAGATAGTTAGATCGAACTGATACATTTACTTGATTTACTTAGTAATTGTCAGTACTGTACGTGTTTATTTAATCATTTGCCTCCTTTTGTGGTTGATGCCGGTGACTGATATGTTTATACATCACAATTTGTTCAAATGGAGTTCAGAACTGTGTAACTGCAATACACGTATGCCTTCTAATTAATTGTTATGTATTTGTGAGCGTATGTATTTCAAACTTCACTAATAGCATTTTACGTTTCACCAAGGCCAGTGAGATTTTATTCTAATTTTAGATTGCCGTTTTAAGAACTGGCCAGTGACAACAGATGGAAATTAGTCTGTAGTTTTAACTCAGGACAATTTACAGTATTTTTTTCCCATATTGATCAATGAGCATTGTCCCTGTTAAATAAATAAATGAAACAAAATTAAAATTAACCGCTGTCATTTAGGCTAGTTATATACAACGTTGATATAGAATAGCATTAATATAAATCTTAAAATCTCGGTTTATTGTGATTGTGTTTTTTACAACCTAAACACAGTATGGTCATAGTTTAACGCATTTCTGTAGGACCTGATATATGCCCTGTTGAAAATCACACGCACAAAATATGGATACCACAACCAATATTGTTATTTTCGACTGATAAAACTTGAGCTAGTCATTAAAATTTTAAACATCTAAATAGGCAGAAAAGCAGGTCACACTGCATCGGAGAACATCATTATGCAACGTAGACTCGAATCGAAATTTTGATCCGAGTTAAGAATGATTATGAAATTTGCATAAATTATGTAAGCATGATCCTTGAAAATTCGAAAATCATACGGTTGTAGGAGAACTTTTCTTTTGGTGCTTGAGCTAAATCTAACTACACATTAGACCTATTTAACGGATTATCAATTACGGAAAGTCATATAAACGTTAATTCAGGATCGCAAAATGAAATGCACAGGTCGTGGGGCGTTATAATATCTTAATCTGAAAATACTTTGCGCTTCATATACACTTTCAGAAAAAATGGTAAAAAAAAATGTACCTTTACTTGTCATTGGGGCTGTACTCTCAAGGGTCTGCCACTTGTACGTATCCTTGGAGATAGGGAGCGCGCGCTGATAGGTCCCATCACACGACGAACCACCTCAGAGATGAGGACCTGAGTGCAGCCGTGTACCCTCCATGGCAGTAGGTAGTTGTAGCTTTTAAGGCACAGAAATGGACTCTGAGGAACATTTCTGTACTTTTGATGGTGCATTAATGCTATTTGTACCTTTGGGATGTTGCTCAAGGTCCATTTATGTACCTTAAAAGGTACAATTAAAGGGGGACAGTCCCAGTGACAAGCAACGGTATAAATTAGGCTACTAGCCTTTTTTTCTGAGAGTAGCTCATTTACTGCTGGACACTATATAGTCAGGTTAAAGGCAGATGGCATTAATATTGTAACACTACGTATTTAAAAACTGCATTTAATAAACCTGTGAATGACCAGTTCCCATACCGATCATAATTCGACTAAGATAACAGACACACTAGAGAAAGCTTAATATGGAGGACATGCAGCCAGTGCCTCCTACCCCATGCAGTGAAATACGATACGCAGTGTCTCCATATCCACATTAGAAAAATAAAATTATATATGCCTGCAAAACTAAAAAATCCCCAATGCTAAAATTATGACACTTTGTTTGACATGATTATTCAATAAAGATTTAGTAATAATCAGTGCTTGAAGTGGGCCGGAACGCAGTTCTGTATTTTCGTAATTTGGTTTCCGCCACTTTTTTCTGCGTTCCGGTAATTACTGAATCTAATCCGACGCAGCGACAGTGGCCCGAGAATAGACAATATCACAAGACCGATAAAAGACTACATGTTGTTTTAATGGTTTTTCAGTATTCCATTTGTGAATTAGAAAAAAGTAGCCTATGCCTATAGGTTATTGCTTGGAAGAATGATTAAATTAAAATAGTTTTTGAACCAACACATCCTAAAGACTTGATTTTTTCAAATGTCAAATGTCGGAAAATTTGAGTTCCTGCACTTATTTTTTCCCACTTCAAGCACTGGTAATAATTGCTATTTAGCCTACTGTATTTACACTCCGACATTAATGAAGTTCCATTGTGACACACTCTATTTAAATAGGCCTAGATTAAAATCACATTTTGATTAATTTCATGTAATCGAAAGCATTTTTGTGGCATATACTGCAATTGGCAATATCATTTGATTCATAGTTTGGTGTATCTTGAAGATATTATTGTTAATATTAGGCCTATTGCTGTAGCCTAATTATTGAGGGGCGCGTTTGCTGATAACGAACGACCTTAACGAAAAACGAAAAAGTTAACGACGTAGAAAATAAAGAGTGGATCGGAGCACTAGTAAATTTACGAACGAGATTACCAACGACGATCGAGTTACGAAATGTTTCGAGAAACGCTAGCTAATTAATGATCGACCTTACGTGCAATATATGAATTACTTATTGTTATTAATCTTTCAAGTAACGCATCCGAGAACAGCATCAAACATCGTGGCAAATTTCTGAAATATGACTTTTTGATTCGTACAAATTAACATTGTCACGATGGTATATCCAAACCTGTTAGGTAGTCTATATAGCTTGTCAAAACAGTTGAAACCTAAGTTCACCACATGCCAACCTAACTGCAATGAAAACAGAGTTGGGTGACGAAAAACTTGTACATTTCAGTGAAAACCGAGCCATCAAAATGATAGATTGAAAAACACTCATCTGGCCAATAATGTCTATATGTCCAGAGTATAATTGTACTCAAAAGCCTAAACTTTAATATCCGGAGTGGCGTATTCGTTTATAACCGGGAAATGAATGAAGGCTATCGAGGGCGTCCCAATCCGTGAGATAGCAGCAAGGACAAAAACAGTGAGTGTTACTGACCGGTATAACGTGGGATTTGACACCCATGAATATGATGAGATCTGGCCCACCCTATATAGGCCTATATATAATAATACGCTGCAAATGAAAGTTTCTTGAGCATCTGAGTTGCTGACCGTGAGGTATGAAAATTAAGAGTGACAAGGTGTTTTGTCATGTTTTCATCAAGATACGTAGGCTACATGGAAGGCCAGGTGTTATGCCGAAAACTCTTTTTTGTAACGTTTGAAAATGATCGTTTCTGTTTATGTGAAGCCATAAAACGTGTGTGACATACCATTATATTTGGTAATGATGTTAATCATATAATGGCTGGTGATAATTTACAATTTAGAGCAACATACTTAAAACAATATGTTGCATAACCTACCTTGTTTACTTTCATGAGGAGTAATGCAACATTTATGTTTAGAGTGAATAATAAAAACATTTGGTTAGTAATTTGTTTCTGTGTTTAATGCTATCGTAATTAATAACTGTCAAAATATTTGGAATGACTGGGATTTATAACACGATTTTGATGGTTATTTTTAAATAACGTCCGCAATAGTCTGAGAGATAAGTGTGATTATGTCACAGAGCTGAAAGCGCATATTAATTGTTCACGTATAAAGGGGTGAATGTTTCCTGTCACGATATCAGCAGCACTGTCAGCATTTGCCGTGAGCAGGCGAGTTGGTCACCCCTACCAGAACCGGACACCCCCTAAAAGGAAGAAACCCCGCACTTCCTTCAGCCGCCTGCAGGTCTGCGAGCTGGAGAAACGCTTCCACAGGCAGAAGTACCTGGCGTCGGCTGAGCGTGGTAGCTTCGCCAAGGCTCTGCAGATGACTGACGCCCAGGTTAAGACCTGGTTCCAGAACAGGAGGACGAAATGGAGGTAGGACCCGCTTTGTACCAGACAGTTTATCATTAAAGCACTAGATTTTGTTTAAAACTGTAAATGTGTGCCAGCTCAGCAGCAATTAGAAGACGAGTTTTATGTACATTACAACAGGAGACCCGTAGTTCTGAAGGTGATCATTGTGCGGATTTGATGATTTGTTTGGGCTGCATTTTTTGTGCCATTTAAGGAGAAAAACTGCTGGGCATTTGTGCCATCGTAAATATTACGGTTTTAAAGGGTTATAAAGGGTTTAGCTAAAGATTTTGATTTGCAAAGTAAAACCAAAGTAAAACTACTATGGTAAAGTAATTATAGAATTAAATTTGAAACAAATAAACATTAGAATGTTTTACATCCAAATCAAAATCTTTAGCTAAACCCTTTATAAAAACCGTAATATTTACGAAGGCACAAATGCCCAGTAGTTTTTCTCCTTAAATGGCACAAAAATACAACCCAAAATGAAAAACCTCAGAAAACTTCAGAGTAAGGCTTCTGGATATAGATATTTTAAAGAGCATTAGAAATGTATTAAAGAGGATTTAAATTTTAATACAATACATAGAGTAACATATTTAAAACAATATGCAGCATAACCTCCATTGTGCACTTTCATGAGGAGTAATGCAACAGAAACATAAATAAATATGGGCTTGTAGTGGATGCTTCCATACAATATGCAATAAAACTATTTTCAAAATGCAAGGAAAATTTCTGCACACATGCAGCTCTGTGTCAGCTAAGAGCCTCTGGCTGTCATCTTTCTCCTCACTGGAGTGTTGCTAGCATTGTTGAAAATTCCCACTGCCAGGTCATAATTAATTGTAATCTGGAATTGTTTTCACATTAGCTTTAGCTACTATTAAACTGCTGTAACCCATCTTTGCAGTAATTACCAGCAGCAGACATGTTGGAAGTCATATACTTTATGTCACTCAGCAGCTGAGGATTTCCACAGAAATGTCTCGGTCAAGTGAAAGTTACTTGCAGTGAGCTCCCTGCTTTACTTATCCAGTGAAATAGATGTATTTTCTGGACATTTGGGAAAGGTGCCTTATTTTTTTGTTAGCTGCAGTCAGGGGCACTGTAAGGGGAGGGGTAAGGGGGGGGGGGGGAGTTAGGGTGATTCCAAGGGCCCCCTAAGTGACAGGTGGAAATAACTGGATTGGTCTGGAATGAGGGTGGAGGCAATATGATATGATAACTCATACCCAGTGGTAGCTGGATATTACCTTAGAAATACCCACTCAGAAGCTATTGTTCTTTACTCTTAGCCTGCTCATTATCTAGCTAAAAAATCTTAAAGTAATAGAATGGTAGAACTTTTTTTTACTTTGCTGCTTGCCGGTCATCACACTAAACAGCATAAAAATGTGTATACGTGATTTTTCTATTATATAACCTTTAAGTTGTAACAAACTTTAGCAGCTGAGGCACAACTGTTTCAAAACTATGTGGAAATACGTTTAATACTTAAATTTGTGTCATGAGTCCCTATCACCACCAGGAGGCAGAGTGCAGAGGAACAGGAGGCAGGAAGACAAAAAGCCAATCGCCTGATTATGCAGCTCCAACATGAGGCCTTCCAGAAGAGCCTGGCTCAGCCCATGCAGCAAGACCCCCCATGCCTGCACAACACCTCCCTCTATGCCCTGCAGAAGCTGCAGCCCTGGGGGGAGGACAGCAATGTGGCCTCTGTCACCTCTGCTGTTTGATGGGTCTCGATAAACGCTCTCTGTCGCTGATAATTCAGCATCAGCTGAATTACTGAAGTACAGCCATGAGCACAGTGCTTTGGTACAAAATCTGCAGACTTACCAACTGCACAAATACTGTTGTCACGTGACTGAGAAGGGAATGGGTGAACAATCCAGATGCAAGCTTTTCTTGTAGGAAAAACCACAAGGGACAGATAACTAATAATACCTAATAAGAAAACTAGAGACAGGTATGGGGGTGATTAGGTGATTATGGGATGGCCAGAGCCCCCTGCAGGCCAAATGGATACTCAATGGGCTGACAAGCCGGGTCCTGCAAACTGCTGGGTGAGGAAATGACCAAATTATTGGGTCAAGCACAAATGTTTGTATCCTCTCTCTTCTATGTGACAATATGTATCTTGGCTTTTGGTCCTGTGTGATCCCAAAGTGAAATTTGCCTGCTGCTTTGTACTAGATCAACTACTAATCTAGTTCATTACACTTTACGATAATTTTCTTTCTATTTCCCTGTCGTCCTGGATATATCTGCTACAGATATCAAAGATTTTAAACTAGTAATCTGTGTTACCTGTTTGCTTTATGCTCAAAAGCGTACAATAAATTGATTTTTGTACATATTTGCACAGAATCTCAGCAGACAGATTGCTGTGATGTTCATATGAGGTGAATAGCTAAGTACCAAAAATTTAAGTTAAATTATTCATCCTTTTCAATGGTCCTGTTTTTCCACACCGATTTCAGTCACAAGCAGAACACGTTTCTCTCACCAGGAGATGGGTGAAATTAGTAAAGTGTCACTCATATATTGCCTTGATTCACTTTTCACTTTTCTAACAGCATCTCTCCATATTCTCTTCACTTGCATGAATTTCAAGTCGAAGTAGTTCATTAAATAGGAACAGGAGTTTTTCTCTGTTATCAAAGTCATCAAAGCACGCCACCATTTATCAGACACATGATCTCATGTCACATGTGAATAAAATTGGCTTTGAAAGGCTAAGTTTTCTAAAATTGTAAGACTATTTGCCTAATAAGGTGAAGAAATGAAAATGAGAACTGCATTCTGGGGCTTGTGGTTTAACCCTAAAGTACTTGAATTAAACGCAGCCTGAAATATTGGCCTGTTTCTGTCTTATTTGGATCATGCTGCTGCTTTCTGAAGAACTCGCTCAAACAGCATGTGGGCGTGTCGCCGCCGGCGGGGATCCTGTCAAATACCGGTGTCCCTCCGGGTAGCATCTCGCTAGCTCCCCTTTCATCATTCATCTCAGTCACCATTCAGACGTGACCTCGCCCATTTCACAGCCGCATTCCTCTGCACTCATCCTGATTTGCTTTCTATACACGTGCTTACAGATATTTTCCAGTCTATTACTTTTTTTAGTCCTGTAATGCAATACTAGGACTTGATGACCTTTGTGGGAGGTGCTCTCAGAGATGTGGGACTTTTCCCGGTGTTTGCTCCCTGCTTTTCCGTCCTGCATTCAAATGCTGGTATTTCTGGTTTATTTATGTAGCGTCCTGAGCGAATTCTGAGGCAGCTGCTCATATGTAAAGTGGTGACGTTGTGCGGGTGCCTCATGGCGCCCTTGAATGATGCTGCTCTGGGCGATTTCCCATCTCACCCATGCCAAGATCTGCCTATGAGTAGGTGTCACATCTACGAGTGCCAGGAGGCATGAAGAAACCCCAAAGGCAGCTTCGGAGAAAGCTAAACCCTAAAGGGAACTTTATTGGCAAGGCTATAGCAGGAGAGTAAGTACCAACGCGGGGGTTCAGACGCGAACTGTCAAACAATGACATACTGGCAAGTACAGGACTACTACAGACAGGTGTAAAACTTACCATGGTTAACACTGGGAATCACATCTAACAAAGAACAGGAACGAGGTGTGGAACATGAGGGCATAGGAAAGCCAGCAGAGACCCCTGCTGGCCAAATGGGAGCAAGACAGGACTGGTGGGTACCGATCATGACAATTGGCCTTAAGAGAAATTAAAACAGACTGTGGCTCCCTGACTTTCATTCCAAGGTAAATACCTGAATTAATCACCCTGTAGCAGCTTGGAAATGCATGCATAATGCTTGCAGTTTTGTTTTCCTTATTATTCTGGGCTTTATTACCTGAACATAATCACGAAAATCTAAAGACTATTACAAATATCTGTTCTTAAATGAAACACAAAAAATATACCTACACTGTTTAAGCAACTCAGAAATTTCTGATATCATCTGTAAAATGTAATGTAGATATGGGCTACTAGATACCCCTTCACAAATGACCACCTTATCATGGTGGAGGGCTGTGTACCTCTGTGAGACTTCTTTCACTTGTTAGGCATAGTGTGATTTGCAATTAAAATAAGACCAATTTATGATGTCAATACATAGTGAATAATTGAAACTAAATGAGTTTATTCTTTTACTATTAGCTTTTAAATATACCTTTAAAAGTACTTTGAATAGTTCCATCCGTCCATCCATCCATCTGCTTATCCTGGACTCACAGAGTGTGAAACAAGGGTGAATAATACCCCCAGAAGGGTTAGATTTATATATTCTTAGGAATGCAGTGGAGTGTTTTAGGAATACACAATCACACCATTATGCAGGACGTAGTGAGAGAAGCTGTGGTCACTTCACCAGAGGGGAAGTGATTCTCCCTGAAAGTGTTTTATTCATTTGTCACAGTGTTGAAGTGACTGATGTTTTATGCTCTGACACACGTGCACAAGGTTTTGATTTTTAGTATCTTCTGCACAGGTGATTTAGTGTTAGGAGAAATGCATTAACTGTTTTGAGAACTTCATTTATAGTGGAGAGTGTCATGCCCCGCTCCGTCCGCTCCTGATGTGTGCCACACCCACCTCGTTACCTCGTGTTCATCCCTGATTGTGATCACCTGTGTCCTGTTATTTCTGGATAGTCTTTTGTATTTAGTCCGAGTCTCAGTCTGTCTTCCCCAGATCCGTCATTGTATTGTTATGCGTTTCGTGAGTGTCTGCCTTCCAAGTCCGATTAAACCCTGTTTACCCGGTCATCTGGCTTCTCTCGCCTGCTTCCCTACTCGCCCGCCCGCCAGTCGTAACAGAGAGAATGGTGTTTCTGATGAGGAAATTGCATGACAGGCACTGAGAAACTGTAACATGGCAAGTTATTTGTATGGAAGCCCATTTCCACCAGTAAAAGAAAAAAAAAAAGAAATAGAATGTCATAATTACGAGATAAAAAGTCGAAATTATGAGATACAAAGTCGAAATTATGAGATACAAAGTCGAAATTATGAGATACAAAGTCATATTTACGAGATTAAAAAGTCGAAATTATGAGATAAATAATCATAATTACGAGATAAAAAGTCATATGCTTTCACACACCAGTCCAAATATCACATCTTTGGCTTGAGGTCTCATTCAGTTTGACATACTGTAGGAATGGATGACTATATTGAGGATTACTTTAAACGTGGCTTTACAACAAATGAAATACTTAATTTGCTTGTTGAATTGCATGCCATTGTATTAAGCAAACACACCCTTGAGAGGATTTTAAGCAAGAAGCAATTAACTCTGGTGATGGATGAATAAAACCGATGTGGCTGAGGTGGCAACCTTTATTGAATAATAATGTAGTGAAATGAGGGATTCAGAGTTTGGCAGTTGTATCTAACATTAAAAAGTATCACTTGTAATGGCTTACGTTTGAACTGCGTCTCTTCACAATGACGCCAATGAAGCGATGACAGGCCTTCAGCTGGACTGGAGTGCATGCATACTTGTTATCTCGTAATTTCGATTTTTTAATCTCGTAATTTCGATTTTTTATCTCGTAATTATGACATTCTATCTCATAATTTTGACCTTCCATATTGTAATTATGACTTTCCATGTCGTAATTATGACTTTCCATATTGTAATTATGGCTTTCTATCTCATAATTTCGATTTTTTTTATCTTGTAATTTCGACTTTCTATTTCATTTTTTTATTTTAATTTTTTATTGCTGGAAACGGGTTTCCAAAATTTTGAAATCATAACCTTTGCTTTGGGGCATTTTGTTTTTAACAGAGAACCATCTAGTGGAGCCAAAAAATACAGCAAATGGTTCATGAAGCGTCATTCTGTCCATCACTACTGGGCTGTATGTCAAATTTTTACGGTTATACTGACATATTTCCAAAATGAGATATTGGATGACAGAATACCATTTACAATTGTATACTTTTATGGGTGTTTAAATTGGGGCTTTGCTAAAGATTTTTATCGAGGCTTAGAGCGTCCCTTCCTGGTTGTAAACAACACAAGCATATATAGATCAGATAAGAACATTGGTTGTGACGTTACACAGAATCCCAGAATCCCGGAAATCAAGCAGAACAGTTAGCTGTGTCTCACAGGGAAGCTGAAGGAGGGGAAAGACCAGGATCCATTGTTACTCATTTTTTTTTAAAACATTAACAAACATTCACCTTCAGTTTTAAAATCAGTGTCCTAAACTGATGAAAATGCTGCTGGGTGACATAGTGGAGAAAGGATTTTATGCTGAGGCTGTTTTTTGGATAGATATCGGCACAGAGTTCTTCTCCTCCAGCTGCATGGATCCCTCCTCATATGGATCTCCTTTTCCCTCCTTGAGCCCGGATGTTTCTCACCCACCAGCTCCCCACCTACGCCTTGGACCCTATTGCCTGCCATCTCCTCCAGCCCGGGTCTCCTACACAATCCCCTGCACCTACCCACCTGAGTAACTAATCCCTTACAACCGGCACATTCCCTGCCACATTTAAGCGGGCTCGTGTGAAGAAACCCTCACTTCACCCTTCACGTACTGGGAATTATCAGCAGTCTCGCTCCACTCATTCTTGTCCAAAACTGTTGAATGTGACTCAGTCAAATCTCAGAATTTCTATGGAAGAACAACATCCTGGACCCTCTTCAGTTTGACTTCAGACGTGGACATTCAGCCAGAACTGTCCTTACGATTGTGGATACTGTACAAGCCACAAGAGCTGCGTCCCAGTCATCTGTCCCGATCCTGCTAGACCTCTCTCCAGCCTTCAACACGCTAAATCAGCAAATCCTCCTGGCCAGTCTCTCTCAACGGATCATCACACGGACTTCTCTCTGCTGGTTTGAGTCCTATCTGTGTGACGGATCATTCCAAGTGACTTGGGGTGCAGAGGTGCCCAATGACAAAAAGGGCCTCCCCCAGTGGTGCAACCCTGCATCACACACATAAACCGTGAAAAACTAGAATAAACAAACATTATGATTCGTAAACATAAGCATATTATCCATACGCGCAAATCTTCACAGGGCTATAATTATGTTTATATTAACGTTGAAACAATAAATACGTTACACAAAGGAGCGCACACACAACAAAAGAACAGCATACCGTGTGTTTTCTGCCTAGATATTTGGGAGACATTAGTACTTTGCTCACACTCTTCTTGGCGTTAACGCTTCACTTCAAGTCCAGCTCCTTCTGGCTCCAGAATTTGACCTTCTTTGAAATGTCTTTCTTCAATTTCTTGTCTTTCTTCAATTCCTCATTCTCTAGTGGCTAGAAACACTGACCTCACAGGCTAATGTTTACTTTAGTCACTTAAAAATC